GTGACAGTAACTGCATAAGCCGTCCCTGTCGTACCCGCGTCTTTGCTGTGAGTGGTTTGGCCGTCCAGAGGGCCGGTTGTCGGAAGACGCACCACCAGCTCCGTTGCCAGAAGTTGCGCCGCCATGGTTCTGGTCGTTGCTGTTGTTCCCCCTCGACGACCCGTTGTTACGGTTCGACGAGTTGTTCCAGCTGCCACGTCCGCGTCCACCGCGCTGCGCGCGTCCACGACCATGATGACCGCCGCCCTTACGGAAAGAACGCGCTCCACCGTGTGTGACGGTATTCAGCGCACGGCTGCTGCTTCCGGACGCGTTCTTCGAGGCAACTTTACCACGAATGTGCATCGCGTGGAACGAAGTGGCTCGGTCGGCGACCTCCTCGAAGGACAAGACGCTCCCAGCAGCCTGGCCGCACAGCAGCCCTGTCTTGAACTCTTTGTAGTGGTCGTCCGGCAGTGCTTTCAGGAAAGCGAACGTCTTTCGGTGGTCAGCCACCGTTTCGTTATACACGGCTAGCTCCGTGCAGATCCGGCGCATGTCTTGAATAACATTGGCCGGATCAAAGTCGTGGTCCGCAGTAACTGCCAAAGATATGAACTTCTCGTGCAGCTCCTGCGTACGGTATACCCCAGCGGCCTGGTACTTTCGTTCCAGGGCGAGGAATGCTCCACGACCGTCTCCGTTGTAGGAAGACCCGATAGGCGCGTATGCCTGCACAGTCTGTGAGGCCGCGCTCTGGTAGCCCCCGGTTTCAGATGTAGCGAGCATCAGCCGGGTAAAGATCTGTCCGTTCTTGTCCTGGTATCCTTCCAGGGCAGTTTGGTATGCCAAAGTCTGGTTTGGCGTAGCGCTTGGTCCAGGATCCGTAGGGGCTTTCTCCACTCCCAACAGAACCTTGTGCAGCTTGTCCTCCATAAATAAGGAGGTCTGCAGAGTTCGCCAGCCGACGTAGTCGCCTGGGTCACCACTGAACTTGGCGAATCCTCTTCGGATCTCGCCTGACGAGCCGGTAGCCATGCTTACCGACGCTTGTGACTCTGGTGTACTAGCTCGAGCAACTCGAGGCTCAAAACCTGTTGAGGCAACAGCACTGTCACTGCAGTTGCTGTACAGCTATTCCTTCAGCTGTGGCTACAAAGTAGCTGGCATGTGATGCGAGGTTAGGTAGGCAAACACACAGAGTGATATTATTATCCACACAGACGCCCAAGCTGTCTTCACCTGACGGTTACAGACTTGGCAACGCCTTCACAATACCGCATAAACCCATGCAGTAGAATAGAGTCGTTATTGTACCGCAATTACTCCAACAGATACCTTCTGCGTATTCAACACCGGGCACACTGCATACGTTTTGCGTCCGTACTTGTATGTTATGTGCGATATCTGTCCTCCAACATATTCTGCGCACGCGGGGCTACATAATGACCGGTGCCGTGGAGATAAAGATAAAACCAAAGCGCCGCTAACGTACGGCAGGGGGGGCGTGTTATCGTGCGTATGATTCTGCGCGCTTGCCATGTCCTACGGACAGATGTCTTCTGCGCCTTCAACACTGGGCCTTCCACACTTTCCTTATCGTGACGCCGCACAGCACGGAACGCGCCGAAGAGCGGCTGCATCTGTGTTTTCAGCACGGAACGTGCCGCCGAGCGGCTGCATCTGTGCTGTCAGTACCAGCACGGGACGCGCCGCAGAGCGGCTGCACCCGGGGTAGTAGGCAAGTGGCATTCACTGAATTCAAAAACCTCCACAAGTAGGTGTACCGAAGAGGAAGGAAGAAAAAAATAGTAAATAAAGATATAGTTTGGTACCGTAGCGTGCGTGCCTCTGACTTGTTTTCGGCGGTTGCCTCCGACAAATTGGCGGACGCTTGATGTTGGTAGCAATATTTGCGCAACGTATGGAGCGGTAGTGTCTGCTGGTAGTGGGCAACAGGACACAGCACCTCACTTATTTTGGGTTTTTCCACTACAGACGTGCAGAGTCGGACAACAAGAGACTCCATAGCGCTGATTCCTTTAGGGATACTTTCCGTGACTGAAGGAGGCTCGCGCCAGTGTACCATTAACGTATTTCGATAGAGAAGTGGCCAAAATCGGGTACACCCGGTCAGAACACGGCCATAATCGGGTACCCCTATAAGACGCTGCTGGTAGCGACCGCATGCCACCATCCGATTGGCCGGCGCCCGCCCCTACCCGGCCTTGGTCGTCTTTCCACCGGGTGCACCCGATCTTGGCTACTCACCCCCTGGAGCGGTACCCGGTTTTTCTTTCCCCTACCCGAAAATGGCTGGGCTGTTTCATCCAAAACCCATGCACACAATCACGGGTCGGACGCACACCACCGGCCCTCGTTTGTCACCAATGAGCAAGTAGCGGGAGGGAGAGAATATATCTAATTTTTAATGAGTCCCGTGTGTGTTGCATCTCGTGAGGGAGGGATTCATCCAGCTCTTCTTCTCGATCAGTTGCACAGACAGACCGCCAGCCGTTTCCCCCAAGGGAGACTTCCACCGCCGGCGGAGGGTCTGCCTCCGCCCGACGGGCGGTCAGAACGTCCGAATTTTCGAGGGCAGGGCGTTGCTGACGTGTACTTGTGTGCATGGGTTTTGGTCGAACAGCCCAGCCCTTTTCGGGTAGGGGAAAGAAAAACTGGGTACCCCTCCAGGGGGTGAGTAGCCAAGATCGGGTGCACACGGTGGAAAGACGGCCAAGGCCGGGTAGGGGCGGGCGCCGGCCAACCAGATGGTGGCATGCGGTCGCTACCAGCAGCGTCTTGTAGGGGTACCCGACTATGGCCGTGTTCTGACCGGGTGTACCCGATTTTGGCCACTGCTCTATTGAAATACGTTAATGGTACACTGGCGCGAGCCTCCTTCAGTTACGCAAAGTATCCCTAAAGGAATCAACGCTATGGAGTCTCTTGTTGTCCGACTCTGCACGTCTGTAGTGGAAAAACCCAAAATAAGTGAGGTGCTGTGTCCTGTTGCCCACTACCAGCAGACACTACCGCTCCATACGTTGCGCAAATATTGCTACCAACATCAAGCGTCCGCCAATTTGTCGGAGGCAACCGCCGAAAACAAGTCAGAGGCACGCACGCTTCGGTACCAAACTATACCATCTACTTCTACTTCGTTGCAGCCACTACCGCTCCATACGTTGCTCCAATTTTGCTACCAACATCAAGCGTCCGCCAATTTGTCGGAGGCAACCGCCGAAAACAAGTCAGAGGCACGCACGCTACGGTACCAAACTATACCATCTACTTCTACTTCGTTGCAGCCACTACCGCTCCATACGTTGCTCCAATTTTGCTACCAACATCAAGCGTCAGCCAATTTGTCGGAGGCAACCGCCGAAAACAAGTCAGAGGCACGCACGCTTCGGTACCAAACTATACCATCTACTTTACTTCGTTGGGACGGACTGCAAGACCAAGCAATACTACAGGTACCAGCCGTACTCCACAACCTATCGCGTCGTTGTCATCGGAGTCCTCAGCTTCTTCCTGCTGTCGCGCCTTCTTCTTCCCCTTCGACTTGGACTTGGACTTGGCCTTCGACTGTCGCTCATGTCCAGTAACATGGTGTAGGACATTACAACAGGATTCACCAAGAGGACTCGAATCAGAGGCTGATCACAACATAACGCCAGCAGCCCGGGTACACGTTCGTATGGACTGTCCAGCACCCGTTTTGGAGGGGTACGTGGCGGAAACTCGACGGATGTTTGTACCACGCTAGTTTTTGCAAATAATCAACTAATGATCGGAGCGTCTTAAGACTCCAAAGAGGGTTATTAAAGCATAAACGATGCGCCGCGGCAGCAGCACAGTCTATCGTCACCCAACTTGTGTGGCATAGCTTTCGCAATTAAGTGAGAGGCTCGCAGATGTTCCCCCTTGACACGATATGCGCGGTATAATGCAAATTGAAACAGGAATTGTATCAGCCTAACCCCAACCCACCGTGTCGGCAGAGCCCTCTTCTTCTTGCTGTCGGGCTTTTGGTGACTTCGTCCTTTTCTTCCCCTTCGGCTTCGCCCCGGACTGTCGAAAAGGAAAATAAGATCGCAAGGAAATCATGGAAGGAATCAAATAGTACCAAGTGCACAGAGGACCACCACAATTGGTAAGCCTCTAGACGATATCCTTGATCTGCCACTTAAACATTGCTGGGTGTATATTGCGCGATTGAGCAGGAAATTCCTGAGCTTGATATTTGAACTCCACGCCTGCACCAATACATTTAGACCATGTAGCCTGTCAATAATGCAGGCAACCATTGACCTACAGTAACCACTGATGCACATTTGTAAAAAAACAGAATCGAAGGTGTTTGTAGAGTCCAACCTACCGGACGGTGATCCTCAGAGGCCTTCTCTCCCCGTTGTTTGGCTGTCTTCTTCGACTTCTTCGGTTTGGACGTCTGATGGCGATCAACAACATACGGAGTACGACAGCAGTAGTGTCGCCATGAATGTCACGAGGGCGGTGATAGGCGCATTACCCCGAGCGCAATCGGCTCTGAAACAGCGAGTGTGAGGTAGCCAAGCAACGGTGATGGTGGAAGCCAACCTTCCGTTCTTCGTACTAATGTATAGTAGTGGGTACTCGCTGCCTCTCATCATCAAGTCTACAGGATGAACAATCTTCCTTGTTCCAAACAAATTACCATCTCACAGCAGTCTTATCAGCAGTGCAAAAAATTCTATAATACAACAAGAGCACGAAGGCACATGTAATTGTTCGACGAGGCATACCGCTGTAGGGACCCATACAACAGTGGGAGCAGCTCGAGACAAAACAAAATGTTCAAATCTCATATATTCCGCAAGCACCGTATCTCGATCGAATACAAAGAGAAGAAGGCGCCCAACCTACGCCACGGAGAGCACAGCATGCACCAAGCACTAACCATACAGATCAACAGCAGTATGCATCCTATAGTCACGACGTACCGGGTCCTCTTCCTCGGCGTCCTCATCCTCGGCTTACGCCCCTGTCCTCTTGGCCTTCCCATGCCGCTGGCGCTTGCCAGTCGGAGGTGTGGCCGGTGTGGCAACTGAGCCCGACGCGGTCGAAGCACCACGTTGCTTCCCTTTCCTCCCTTTCCCTTTCCCTTTCCCGCTTCCTTCGCCAGTGTTTTCGCCGTTCTGGGATGAGCCGTCTCCTCCGGCCTTCGCATGTGTACCACTCCGACTCCCGCCTCCGCTCCCAAATAGGGCACCACGTGGCCTGACTGAAGACCCGCCGCCTGGAAGTGCGGCGGATTCATGACGCTGTTGCGAATCACCCCCACCTTCGACCCGCTTCTGGTGCGAACCCGACGCACCACCAGCATTGCTCCCCTCGCCACCCAAGGAGAAGCCTGGCATACTAGGTATGGAACCCGGTAGTCCCTTACCACCCGCGTTGTTCATTGCGGCATAGGATCCTCCGGCTTCATGCAATCGCCCTCTTGGCGTCCTCTTCCCGGCAGACCCATGCGCACCAGCAGCATTTGGCTCACGACGCGGGGGTGTACCAGCGGGCGGCGGACCTCCTTGCTCTAGGGTAACTAGGGCCGCGATAGCCTCATCCTCCCTGTCGCCATCCTTTTGTTCTTGACCACGCTTCGAGCGACGAGTCGCCGGGTGACGCGGAGGGAGTCCGCGATCAGGTGAGGGTGTTTTCTTGGCAGACGCTGCCCTCGCAGGTCTGCTACCACCCCGCCCACCCACGCCCCCCGAACCTCCACCACCGCGACTGTAACGCAGTCCACGTACCGAACCTCCTCTGGCTGCAGACCGCGTGGTTGTAGCGCCTGGCATAGTATCTGTGATCCAGTTCCTGGGAATTGAGGTGTCGACAGCAGGACCGAAAAAAACTTCTCTGACCACCAACAGTTTGTGGTCGGAACCCTGTCAAAGAACCGAAAATATTTGCTCACCGAGACCGAAAAAAAAATGATTGAACGTTTCGACCTGTTTGTTATACAGACATGGGGGGCGGGGGTGCATTCCTACATTTTTCAAACCTGTGTGTTTGGTATTTGCTTCCCCAGTTTTCTACGTAGGTCTAATGAGTCATCTGTTATTGTGGGCATGTCATCATGCATTTGTTCGTATGGAAGAGAAAACGCAACAACTTGGCGGATGATGATCATGTTATATATATACTTACAGGATGGTCGTCGTGACGTGACACATTTCTTGTTAGTAGTATGGAAAAAAAAAAAAAAATGCTGTGATAATTTTTTTCGTACAGCGGTATGGACCAGACGCCGACTGTACATAGAAGTTGGCGAGTGTCGACTGAGTTGTGTTGTGACGGCATCTTCCACGCACTTCTGCGAGCGTTGCTTTGTTGTTTGGAGTCTTGTAGGTCGAGATACAGCAGTGGGATTCTCGAGTTGTGGAGGCAAAAGTATGCCTGCAGCCACAGCAAAAAATTACATGCATAGCTCGACTACCGTGCTGCTGTGTTTTTACTACAGACCAACTGGATGGGATACTTCCTGCCACGGCTAACCATACTACAACGCGATGTAAACATCCGTTCTTGTGTCGGGCGGCTGCTTCGTGTATCGACGACAGATACACACGCAGGGCTCTCGCGACGTTGTCGTTATTGCGCGGGAGGACCCCCCCGAGATCTTCCACACATATATATGGTGCTCCGACGACGGCAGTAGTACTACTGTGCATAGATGTTGTAGGAGAGTGGAGTTGTGCTGTCACGGCATCTTTCCCGCACTCTCCTACCGGTGCTTGCGTCATGCAGTCCTCTACGCCGGAAGACGAGAGTGGTTTGGGTTCCCGTGTTGGTTGTGCAGCAAACGTGCCTGCAACAACAGAGGATACGGTGTTCTATTTATTATTATCCCGCTCACCTTTTTTTTTTTTTTTGCGACATGATGCAATTTTTTTTTTTTCTGAATATGACACAACGAATCCATCTCTGTCATAGGTAAAGAGTCAGAGTCAGATTAGCAATGAATTCATAGCGTCAGAAAAAGCTACCTGTATGTCTACGATTTCCCAGACAGCATATAGGGACATGTATGTCCCCTGCGGCATTTTTCCATTGTCCTTTGGCACTGCCAAGAAGACCGCCGTATCTTTACGCAGTCCAACTTTTGCTTTTATAATTTTACATCGAACGGCGGGGGACGGGTCGCGACCTTCATCATGCCCACCTGCGACTATCGTATCGACGAGACGCCGACTGATCATGGTCGTAAGAGTGTGGAGTTAGCTGTGTTGTGACGGTATTTTCTACGCCCTACCCCGTCCGATACATACAGCGGCGACTATGCAAGCAAGTGTCCGTGCAACAACGACAAAAAAAAACGCGTCCATGCATATACATGTAGATAAGTCGATATATATATATCTGTTTTTGCTTCACAGCAGGACAACTTCAGGTTGACATTTTTGTTTGACACCACCGGAGGCCGGTGGATCTTTACGAAGTCCATGTTCCGTTATTTTTTTTAACGATTTTACCCCGGAGACGCAGGAAAGGATAAAATGAATGGCAACATGTACCACTTCGTGACGTCACATAGATAGGATGACAAAAGAAAAGTTGGAAAAGAAGAACACGGTAACCTGTAGTCTATTTCACATTAAATTTGTTAGTACACGCCGGACTTCTTCCACACATCTGGGTTCGAATCCAAACACCAAACTGGAATACCCTCATATTATCGATCGCCCTCGACAATTTGGGACGTTTGCCACCAGTTCGTCGTCCTCCGGCGTCCGACCCATTGAATATACCTCCTGGAGTGAGTACGCGAACAACTCATCACAACACTACACCGTAGTTCTCCACCAGAAGACCCAAAAACGTGTCGCAGGCGCTGCCAATTGAAATGGCTTTCTTCTTTGATGTACCCGCGAAGATTTGCATCTTTTGGGGACGGCTGCAGTGGTTATTCAATCAACTGCCATCACACTAGACATCCCGTGAGGATGATGCGTACTGCGGAGTTACAGGAAAGACCGAGTACGTGTTGGAGTCCATGCCAACTGCAAAGGGCAACAAAAACGATAATCGTGCGCCTGAGTGTCCCAAACATGTAATACTATCAGGTTGAAACAGCCGGACGCCAAGTGTGGAAAAAGGCTCGTATGACCCGACTTTCGGTGCACATCAGCGTCAACTGATGAAGTAAGCAGTATGACACCGACACAGCAATCGGGAAAATTTGAATATTTTTATTGGGCCTTCCTAAAGATTCCGAAAGACGACACGCACGTCGTTCACACGTCCAGTTCCACCAATAGGTTTCTAGCGCTCAACCCTACCACACAGCAACCCAGTGCTTTACCACGCACTGTACACCCCAACTCATGACCGATCCAAGAGATCGCGGCAACAACCGCCGTCGAGAAGACACAAGCACAAGGAACCGCCGGTACCGAGTTGTCAACGCCACCGACATAAACACGCGTCGAGGGGCTCAGCGTGCTGCCTCCGCCGATGCCCTCAACGCCCATCGTAGAGCACAATATTCCGCGTCGGCAGAGGCCATCAACAGCCGTCGTACAACTCGCCATGCCGACAGAGCACAACAGCTCAACGCCGCACGTCGACGGCGTAGAGCGACCGTCATCAACAACAAAAGGGGGTTGCCCTTCAACGACATCTTTCACGCCGAGGACGACTCCACCTCACTACGAGCCATTGTTGGAGACCGCCAGCGAGCCTTGGAGGAGGCGCGACGAGACCAGGGCATCACAGCGCAGACCGGAGATCCTTGCCGGCATTGTGGCGCCAAACTGTTCGCTAAAGAGTCCAAGGGCATTTGTTGCAAGAATGGGAAGTGCATCCTCCCGCGACTGCCGCCACTACCCCCTTCATTGAAAGAATTGTACGATTCTCCGGAGCCATCAGCGCAGAGGTTCAGGAAGGAATCGAGGATGTATAACTGCCGATGCAACTTCGCCTCGCTCAACGTGGAGGATGGTGAACTCAAAAAACAATTCGGTGACCATCTCTTGTCCGTCCAAGGGAGGTGAGATCGATTCACATGTGGAACGATATATGCTACGATTGTATAATGAGGTATAAAACGAATGATCCTATAACGATATATTTTCCTTCGTGGTTTAAAACGAATGATCCACGTTTTTTGTCGGGATTCTTACCTTTTCATATCTAATGGGCTGGTGCGTAATCGAAATCCGTCGACTCCTGCCTCCGCTCCCCCCGACCCACCTCCCCACAACGACACAGCGACATTCTTCCCGACGTCCCTCCCACAACCCTCCCCGACACTCCCACAAGCTCCCCCACACCCGTCCACGACATCGACATGGCTCCTACGACGCGTGGCAAGCGCACTCCCAGCGCCAAAGCAAAGGTACTCTTGCCGTTTCCTCGCAACGTTTTAACACAATACCAGCGCCCGCCGACCCATTCGTGCGTCTTGCCTTCACGCGACCACGTAGAAGCCCATGATCACGCCTTCCCCCAAGACACGGCCCGAACACGACTCATACGTTACCACCTCCATACCTTCTACACCCACCTTCCCTACCGTCTTCTTGCGAAGCGGACACCGCTGATAGATTTTGTGAAAACCTCTTCAAACGAATTTGTCTACTTTGCACACCCTTACTCAAAGCCGAAGATTACTCACCCTGTGTCCGTCCCTCCTTCCCTTCTTCGTTCACGCCTCGACGTCCTGTTTAGGCCGCCTTCGCCACCGCCAGCACGGGAGCGACTCCAACCAAAAATACAACCTCCCCCAGGAACGGGAAGGGCAAGGTCCGCCATCCCCACGTGAGTACGTTTAGCACGTAGATACCGTCCACAAAGCAACTTACGGCGTTCCGCAAGATTCGTTTTTTTTCTAAGTATTTTCTTTGTCGCGCGCATGCGTGCGTAGTCCTCCGTTTTTCCAACAGCCTCAACCTTGCCCATGGCGCGTCCAGGAACTTCGACCACAACGACATTTCTCGGCCCCCGTCTCCAACCGAACATTGCTAGCTCTAATTCATGTGCGCGTTCTGTGCTTCCCGTGCGACACAACACCGAACCTCCAACGGGTATGATATTCTATGACACGGTCGCGTTTTTCATCCCTGACTCTAGACATGCTGCCATGTGAACCATCGCCCTGTCATCCTTACAGCAAAACACATGAACGACGTGAGCCCATGCCCACAAATCCAACCATCATCCAACATTTTACTCCTCCTCATGCCAGCAGCTTCAGGTGTTCGTACCATGAAAACACCGTGCGCACGCCACCTGCCCTACGTCGTCTTGGGCGATCATTAGCGATGTACGGATGTCGCGCCTGCAGGGATCAGGTGTACGTGTGTCCCCCAAATACCAAACCTGTCGCCCGACATCCACTCCCAAAACTTGTGAACCTTTC